TGAAAGTGAGATGCTCATGATTTTACTGTAATCTTTTGTCTTTCTGCTCAATGAGAACTGTTGAGCGAGCTTCAAAAGCTTCTCAAAGGCAGCAGGGGTCGGACCCTGAATTGATTAAAAAGCATCTGGAATCTCTCCTTGCTTTCCCAGGAAACAAACGTCTCTTTTTCTGTATAGGAACTACGCAGCCCTCGCTGCGCTTGTTGCCCTTAGCATTCACTTACCCCTGCCTGCCTGCCCTTGGCATGCAAGCGGGCTGTTGAAGGCAAGTCCTCACCCCTGGGGCAGCGGGAGGGAAGCTTGCTGTGGGCAGGTGCCTGCTCTTCTGTCTGCGCTCTTCTGGTATGACTGCATAGAGGGGAGTCCTGCGAACGCGCAGATGCTCCCAACTGCAGCTGGCGCAAGCTGGATGTGTTTCATTGTCCATCTGTGTTTTGCGTCTAAACTAATTGCCATGTCAATATCCTTCTATATAAAGGCCAGTAAATGATACAAATGGCTGGAAGGTGGAGAAGATTTACAAGCTCACCTTGCTGTTTTCCTGTGCGGCAGGAGGAGATGTGAATGCTTCAAATGTTCTTTCTCCAGGACCGTTCTCTTCTGAACACGTGCGAATGCTTTATGTGGCTGAATTTCTTGGGATGATGAAGTACTAAGGTGCTGTTCGGTGTTAAGATGACAGTTCAAGAAGTGAACTTGTTCTGCGGCTAGGCAAAACAAGCAGTGACTTGAGAGCCAAGACGGTTTCATATAAATGATTGGTTTTATTCTGAAGAGAACTATTTACAAAAGAAGTAGAGCATTGTTTTTACTAAAAATATGCCTTTATAGATTTTTATAATATGTATCTTATAAAAACCATACATTTATTTACATTACTGCTACATACAAAAATTACAGCACTGTGGTATATGTACATATCTATAGGTACATTCTTTCTGCTTGTCCCTGCTGTGTGCTTTTCCCCTGTCAGTCTAAGGGAATCGTTGCTGCAGCACCCAGACACTTCCTTTCTTGGCTTTTTGGTTAAAACAATCTTGCTTTTTATAGCTGGGCGGGGAGTAGGGGGTTTGCCTGATGCAGAGGCATATCTGGAATTCACCGTTCTAAGTAAGACAAGTGCGTGCAGCTATCAAGTCCTTGTGCATGCAGCACTGCCTGTAACCTCACTTCTTGCTTCTCTGTGCAAAATTATTCTGTTGTCATTAGTTGATCTCTTGTTCATCTCCACGGCAAGTTGCTGATCTAAGTTTGTATTAAAGTGCTAGTGACTTGCCTTGCATTTACGCTTACTTGTTTACAGCTGCTTCCCTTGCAGAGTTTACTAAAGGGAGATTGATCCCTTCTCCCTTCGGCTAGCGTAATAAACATTTGCCCAGTCACCTGTTACTTAACTGTGGGAAAGTTCTTTGTAACCTTGATCTCAGCAGGCATCTCTTCCCTGTGCAATATTTGAACAGTGACTGTGCAGCCCTACTGCTTTATTTCCCATTAGCTCAAAAGCAAGGCTGAGTGTTGTATTTAGGGCTGCTGGTCCCACTCCTTAAATCTACTTTGGGATCCTGAGTACCTGCCGGATTCATGTGCTTCCTCCATCTCGTTCACTGGAGGCAATGTTTCCTTTGCGCCGTGTGTGTCCTAGGAGTATCAAGCATCACAAGTGGAGCATCTTCTAACCCAATGCTGCAAGGACGATTCCAGGTTCCCGGCCATGACAGGATGGAGATGAGCATTTTAATGACAGCTCAAGGTGAAATAAGTCAGGACCTCGTTAAAACACAACATGACAAATAAGAATGTGAAGGACTGCATTGATGAGGTTTTTGAAAACAAACCAACGAAACCTAGGTGCTATCTTAAGGCAGTTTCTGTTCCTGTTGAGTAGCAGCTCAGCACAAGGAGGTCTACTTTGGTGTGTTGTCCAGTTCATTAAACCCAATTCTCTTGTATTTCCAGGTTTAGTAGTGCAACTAAGTCTTTAGGGTTAAGGGGCTAGTTTTAAGAAACCATACCCAACTGGCACCTTAGAACATGCTGACTTTCCTCTTGCAATCTCTTCCATCATTGTTACTCAATAAATAAATTCGCAGTGGGATTAAGGTAGGTTCCTCCTTAAATGAAGAGATGTGCTGTGCATTTCAATTGCCTACCCCTGCAACTGTATGAGTCACTTTCCTCTCAGCAACCATGTAGCAGAAGGCACCTTTCTTCATCTCATTACTGCATCTTCATTGGATAACTTAAGGCCCTTGCCTTAGGATTGCATATGTACAAATATCTGTCCTTATGGGGTTTGAGCCCCACACAGCTGCTGGGCATGAGGCTTGAAGAGAGCTGTTGGGGCCTGGGAAATAACAAATGATAGGAGAAAAAAGGTCAGTGAAGACCGAGATGTTCATGTGGCTCTCGCCACAATAAACACAGCATCACTTTCAAACAGTGTATGAGACAACTGTTCGCAGGTATCGCTGGCATCCATGAGCCCACACCTAATTTTGCAGGTATCAAAGCTTATGTTAATATATATGGGCATAACTGAGTCCTGACAGCAGGAGATGCTGAGCACGTACCTCGTGTCTCTGCCCTTCTGAGACTCACAGCGGAGGTAAGATGGGAGGATGAGGACTCGCCATCCTGAGGGCGCAGTTGGCACCGCACTAACTCCCTTTCCCTCACTTGCACACGTGGATACAAGCAGACACTCAACAGTTGAGCATTGCAGAAAGGAGAGGCCAAGGTTTAGTTTCCTTCCCTGCCTGTGAGACTCTGGACTCCTTTCCCTGTAAGCAGCAAGCTGTAGTGGTGATGCTTTACCGAAGTGTTTCCTGGAGCAGGATCTGCAATCCAGGTCTCATTGCTTTCAAGTTAATGGGTTTTGCCACTTGGCTTTTTACCATCGTTTTCAATCCCAAAGAATACTCTGCGCCTTGCAACATGGAACTGCTTCAGTGCAAGATGATTTCGTACCAGTGTGGTAGTTTCATGTTAACAAGGAAACACGGGAATGCTCAAATCTTTGTATGCAGAGAGGATATTTGTACTGAGGTATTATGGATGTCCTATCCCATAGGTAAGCTGAATAATAATAAAAAAACCCAAGCCACCAACCTCTTACCTGCTTCTTAGAAGAAGGTGTTTGATAACTAATTCTAGCAGAAAGCTTGTTATTGTAAATAATGAGCAGAGATAGCAGCTCCCCGTGGGATGGTGTTTTAGCACCTAAGTTGCTGAGCAGGACAGAGCTGACTGTGTACCTAGCTCCATCTCCTGTGGGACAGGGTAGGTGGTAGCCTCTTTCAAGCAACGGGGAAACAAATTAGGGCCTGTGGGTATTGTGAGCTGGGAGAACATGTGAAAATTGCATGACAGCAGCAGGACATCTCTGAACTGAGGCTGGCGTTCCTCGCTGGTTAATGATGGTAGACTGTGTTAAAGAGAAGAGCTGTAAGGCGCCCATCCAGTG